CACTGAAAACTGAAGAGGACTGGGCAGGGGTGCTGTTAGTGGGGGTCTGGAGGAGAGGGGGCATGGGCTTCTCAGCCCCACCCTTTCCCTGAGTGGCAGCACCCAACCAGGGGAGGACCTGGCAGGGAGGTTGCTTGCATTAGGGGTTCTGTGCCTTGTTCAGAGCCATGTTCCTGACCCCTAGCACAATGCCTGCAGTTTATGCTGGTTCAATGATTGAACCCAGATGCTCAGTGGTGAAGCATCTCACTTCAGCTCAGGTTACGATCTCGTCGTTCGTGAGTTCAAGTCCCACATGAGGTGAGCTTGAGCCCCACTTTGGGTGAGCCCCATTTCTTTCTCTCCCTCTGTCCCTCCTGGGATTCTCTCTTTCTCCACCCCCTCACTCACTTGTGCCCCCTCTCTCTCTCAAAAAATTTTTTGTGTTCTGATCCAAAGTTTGTGATGAGGAATTTGGTAGACAGAATAATCCCCGCCCCCCAACCCCAGAGAAAAGATGTCCACATCCTAGTCCCCAGAACTTGTGACTATATTAGCTTTAGAAGGTAAAAGGTTGCAGATGGAATTAAGTTTGCTATTCAGACAACCTTAAAATAAGATTATTCTGGAGTATCCATTCAATACCTGATGAACAGATAATTAAAACGTCCTATATCCATGCAATGGAATATTATTCAGCCATAAAAAGGAATGAACCATTGATACATGCTATAACATGGTTGAATCTCAGAGACATGCCAAGGAAAGAAGCCAGACACAAAAAGTCACATGCATATTACATGATTCCACTTAAATGAAATGTGCATAATAAGCAATCCTTAGAGACAGAAAGTAGATTAGTGGTTGTCAGAGGCTGGGAGGCAGGAGGAATGGGGAACGACTACTCATGGGTACCTGTTTTTTACAAGAGTAGGGAGGGAAATGATTAAAATGTTCTTAGGTAGTGGCAATGCTTGTGCAACTTTCTGAACATACTAAAAATTACTGAATTATGTACTTTAAAAGGGCAAATTTTATTGTATGTGAATTATCTCAAAAATAATTACTTCAAAACAATTCTTGGGGCACCTAGGTGGCCCAGTTGGTTAAGTGTCTGACTCTTGATTTTGGTTAAGGTCATGATCTCATGGTTTGTGGGTTGCCCCTGTATTGGGCTCTGTGCCGTTAGCACAGATTGCTTGGGATTCTCTGTCTCCCTCTCTCCCTGCCCCTCCCCTGCTATGTCAACTCTCTCTCAAGAATAAATGAGTAAACTTTTTAAAAAAATTTTTTAATGTTTATTTATTATTGAAAGACAGAAAGAGACAGAACGTGAGCAGGGGCGTGGCAGAGAGAGGGGGAGACATAGACTCCGAGGCAGGCTCCAGGCTCTGAGCTGTCAGCACAGAGCCCAACACGGGGCTCAAACCCACAAACCGCAAGATCATGACTGAACTGAAGGCAGACGCTCAACTGACTGAGCCACCCACACGCTCCAATAAATGAATAAACTTAAAAAAATTCTAGGTTTAGCAAGTCAGGCAATACAGACATAACTAAAGAAAAAGCTAATCACCTGTCTCCTCATTCCCCATTTAATCTTTCCCTTCTATATTAAAATTTTGATTTGATTAACTTACTCATAGTCTCTTGCTCTTACAAGCATACATGCAAATAAAAAGGGTTTTGTCTTTGATCTTATCCTTACAAAAATGAGGTCAGTTTATATACAACTTGCTTTCTTCACTTAACTTCTCAGGGATATCCCACCAAGTTAATAATATATATAAATTTGTCCGAAGTTCATGTCTTTGATGTTCTGTAATTTCTCCCCTCCCATCCGATGGTTTAAGAATGGTATCACAATATATCAAAACATCAAGTTGCACATCTTAAATATATACAGTTTTTAAATGCCAAAGTTCTCGCAAATAACGTTAAAAATATATTGAAAAAGTGGCATCTCATAAGTCTTAACCCTTGTCTTTTGGTAACCATATAGACAAATTTCTGCTAAGTAGGTCTACCTATGACTGGAATTGTCCGATCATGGAGTACACATATTTTCACTGTTTGTAGAATATGTCACTTTTGCAAAGGGATTGTATAGAGGTATATTTCCACTTGTAATACATGAGCAACCCAGTTGCTATACATCCCTGTCAGAACTTGGTATTTTCTACTGTTTTATTTTAGCCACGCTGGTGGCTGTGAAGTGTTGTTGCCTTATACTTTTTGTTATTGTTTAATTTTTTATTGAAATGCACATATCATAAGTGTATATCTCAGTGAATTTTCATAAACTTGAGCACACCCCTATAGCCAACACCCAGATTAAGAAAGAGAACATTTCTAGACCGACGTGTAGCCTATGACCTTATAATTCTACTCTTGGGCACATACTCAACAGAAATGCACTTACATTTTAACCAAAAGACACAACTCAGGTTGGTTAATGGTTATCATTTTGCCACATTCCCCATAAATCCTAATATATTTTAGGAGAAGAAATACAGCATTACAGTTAAAGTTGAAAGCCATGTTGGGGCACCTGGGTGGCTCATTCGGTTAAGCGTCTGACTTGCGCTCAGGTCATGATCTTACGGTTTGTGAGTTCCAGCCCTGTGTCAGGCTCTGTGCTGACAGCTCAGAGCCTGGAGCCTGCTTCGGATTCTGTGTCTCCCCCTCTCTCTGCCCCTCCCCTGCTCATGCTCTGTCTCTCTCTGTCTCAAATATAAATAAACATT